CAGCTGCTCAAGTATTCAAGTAACTATAACTTGCTGTATCTAAATAATTGCAGTGCTGGTTTCTGATCAAAAATTAGTATAAAGATTTCTGATCGAAAATTAATAAATACAGATATGGAAAAATCCTTAATTTTCTTTAAATTCTTAAAAAAAATTTTGGATTCTTAATTTTTTTTTTTGTCGGTCTGAATTATGTAGATGCAGACAGGCAAAAATGTGCACATACTTTGAGACACACACACACACACCCTCCCCCCTGCCTCCGCCCTTATGTTCCTGAATACCGGACACAACTATTTCGAAGGACTTGACATAGTTGTGTCCGGCGTTTAGGAGCATTTCAGCAACTTGGCATTCAAGCCACTTTTTCGGGCATTGTGATTTGTGGTAATCCATTTGTTTTGAGCGCTGCGTTTTTGCTTTAAATGTACGTATTGTGCTTTTTCTTCGGGTTTCTCATCAGTGCTGTTTGCATTTCAGTTTATGGGTGAAAACGCGGTCTGGCAAGATCCGGAAGGTGAAGTTCGTAAATGGCAACGAGACACTGGCACTGCTGCATGGGGTGATCCAGAGAAACAGTCAAGTCTGTCTTTTTTTAACTCGCAAAGATCATCATTATTTTAGCAGAAATTGTAGTAAATCTATAAAAAAATACGATTAATTATGAAGATTAAAAAGTCTTTTTTCAGAAGAAATTAAACGATGGTTGGTACCAGCTGGGAAAGAGTTTGAATCTGCAGAAGGTGAAGGTGGTAAGTAATTTACACAGTTTTTCAGGTCCTAAAAGTGTTGGGAAAAGCTACCTTTTCAGTGCTCCGTTAGTACTCGGGAAAGGCAAAAAACTAAAATTGGCATTATTTTGAATACGCAAAAATTGAGTTTTGATAATTTGCAGATGGCCGGTAAAATTTTAGACTTAATTTTTTTTTTGTTGTTTGTCCGCCTGAATCATGTAGATGCAGACAGGCAAAAATGTGCACACACTCAGACACACACACTTACACATACATGGAAACATAGGAGCTCATGATAATACGTTTTTATGAAAAAAGCTATGGAAAGTTTTTAACTAGACTATAGTGGGTGGCTGTAGTGCTTTTTGCGAAATTTTCATGAATTCTGGTACTTCATAGACGTAGTACACAGACGTCGTAAGCTATGTTCAGGTGCAAATTTGAAGGAAGGAAAAGGCCGAAAAAGAGGCGAAGTGTAACGAACGATTAGCTGTGATTCTCAGTGGAAATTACGGTTGTTCCATATTTTCCACGATTCGGACTGGCCGTTTACTTCAGAAATTACGGTTCGGCCTACCAAAGACCGCAAATTATCAGTTTAACCCACTCCGATCGCTCCACTTGGGCCGTCCTCTTATAATTAGGCTTTCTAATGGCCATTACTTATCATTACTTTTCTGAGCACGGGTGTGAATGTGAGAGGAAACAAAAAAATTTTTGTGATGGGTTAATTTTTACTGAAAAAAAAACGAGTTTTTTTTAGGAGGTCGAGTAATCACAGCGACAGGTTGGGGTGAACTTCCGGCAAAATTGTCGAGTAACGTCTCAGCAAATGCAGGACCGTCATGGCCCACCAAAACATCACGTTCATCGCCGGTCACTCCAACCACTTCTGGTCTGTTTTTTTTTTCGCCTTTTTAAGGTTAAAAGAAAAATGTGTGAATGATCATGGAAAAATATAAGAAAGGATTATAGAAAAGATAATAAAGAATGGGAAAAAGCAGTATCAAATTTGCCAAGAAGTGTTTTCGATCCACTAAGTCGTATACATTTCTTACCATTACCACAGTTGGACCTCGTCAGTACGACGACTGTAGTAACAA